CAGCACCTCTGGGAGGAGCAGGGGATTGCATTCAGAAAAAAAAATTCCAATATCTCTGCCTCTGGTTCAGTATATCTCAAACTTTAGTGATGCTGCTTCCAAGAAAGCATTAACTCTGGGCTTCCTTGGGCATCACCTGGTGAATTCGGGACACGGTTTTGTTGTTGTTTTGTTTTTTGTTGGTTTTTTCCTTGTATGTCAGTGAGTTTAATGCCATGTGGGGAAGCTGAGAGCTGTGTCAGCTTAAGGGACAGTGAAAAATCAAAGGCAAATTGGCTGAAGCCTGGGGCAGATCCCACCTGGGCAGCCCTGCTGGGCTGTGCTCAGAGGTGTGATGGGAAGCAGGTGCTTCCCTCTCTTATCTCACTGTCAATAAAGGTTGTACAGGAATGATATTCCCACCTCACAGATGTTGGCAAAGTCAAAGTGTATCAGTTTATATGGGGAAAAACTCCTGATTTCAGCTACAACTTTACTCTGAGTCCCCCAGCAATGTTTGTGTCTTAGCAACCACATTTTCCTATTTAGAAGTGTTTAAAACATTAAGAACCACTACCAACAACACATTAAGCACAGGATTAAGTGCTTTCCTGAATCAAAGCTTAACTAAATAAATGCTGTTAATTGAATCAGGGATGCGCTGTTTTTTTCAGCCCTTAAATTTGCATAACATTTGCATTTGATTGAATATTCGTCGTGAATGTTGTTCAGTTCCAGTGGGTCTCCTGGTGTCTCTCCAGCTTCAGCCATTCTCTTGTTGTCCCCAGGAGCTCCAGAAATGGTTTTGGGAGGAGAGGGTTAAGTTGGTGCTTGACTGTGCTTTACTGGAAGTTCTCAGTGCCCTGGTGCTCTCAATCACCTTTGCCTTGAGGAATCTGTGGTAGGGAGTGGAGAAAGGTCTGGGAGGAATTGGATGTAAGGGAGCATCCTACAGAAGCCTTGTGTTGTGTACGTGCAGCTCTTGTGGATCTGTGCAGCTTGACCCACCGTTGCTGATGCTATAACACAGGGTGGGCTATGGCTGCTTGTGGTACCTGGAGCTGGAACTTTCTCCAGCAGGAATTCACTAAACAGGCCATGTGCTTTGGGACTAAAGAGAAATCAAATTGTCTGGATAAAATCTGGATCAGTGGTCCCTCTCAACTCGAATCGATCTGTGATCTTTGGGGTCCCCTCCATCCCAAGCCATTCTGTAACTATGAAAAGCAGCATGACTGCATGCTCACTGCCATGCTGGTGAGGTGCCACCTCTGTGCACTTTGTGAAAGGAAGCACATCTGTAGGGTGAGGTGGGATGGGGACACACCTGACTTTTATCCCAGCTGCTGCTGCTCTGCCATAGCATGATGATGCTCCTTTCCGAGCATCCTTTTCCTATGGTGATGCAGCAAGGAGCAACTCTGCTTTTCAGAGCATCACTTTGAAAGCATCACTTGGGGCTTTTGCAAAAGGGAAGAGAAACCTTGAGCAAGAAGAGGCTGCCCTGGTGATGCTCTGCCATTGCTTGTGGCAGCTGGCCCCATCCTCCTGCTGGCTCCCAGCCCAGCTTGGAGCAGGTCAGTGCCCCCTGCTTGGGTCCCTGTCATTGCTGCTGTGCCAGTCCTGGGGGAAGTGCCAGCAAGTTCTTAATGAAGGGCTCTGGCCACCCTCCTCGATATGAAAGGAGATCCCAGCAGCTGAATCTATTGTTGGGGTATTTCCCAGCGAGATTTAAAAATTGAAAGCAAACAAACAAACAGAACCAGATCTAATTTGGGATTGTTGCTGAGGGTTCTGCCTGTCTGTGTGACACATGGCACTGTATGCCCACGTGGGATGGGAAGATGTGAAAGCGTGGCTGCTGCTGCGGCACCAACAGCAATGCTGGGAGGGCTTTGGGTGCACTGGGATAGAATGAGAGTCATCTCCATTTGGGTTCAGGGCTGCTGGAGAGCAGCAGAGGGCATTTTGTCAATGGATAGGGCTGGTTCTTCAAAAAAGCAGCTTTGCTTTGGTTTGTGCATTCTGGATAAGAGGGTGTTGCTGGAGTGCTTTTCTCATGAGCCATGTGCTCTTTCCCCGTGCTGCATTGATGGGCACAGGAGGTGAGGGCAAGAAACAACCATTGGATTGGCACTGGATAGATGAGGATACCTCCTCCATCCTCTGGACGCTCCAGGTTGCTCTGTAGCACTTTGCTCCATCCCTTTGCATCAGTTTGAGTGTTTATCTTCCCAGCACGCCCTATTTTGAGCTGGGGAGGGTTTGCTGAGAGCATCAAGCTGCTCAGTTCCTGATTTCCAAGGTGTCAGCTCCTCAGAAAAGCTGGGATGTCTGCATGGGACAGCCAGGCAGCTCTGCAAGTCTATGATGCTGTAGTACTGCCACAGTTGGCTGCTAACATCCCATGGGCACAAAGAGCAGCGTTGGCACGAAGCAGGAGGGAGGTGACACCGGGATGCATTCCTGGGACCTGCAGTTCTCTGCTCACAACCATTTCAGCTGCTCCTCCCTTTTTCCCCTGTGTGCAGACCCCCATCCATTCACTCACAGCTGAGGTCGTGTGCTGTGTTTGCGAGTGATGAGAGGAGCTCCAGCTTTGGCACACGGTGAATAAAAAGCCAGGAATCGACGACGAGCAGAGTTATTTATTTGGAGTAAAGCCTTGTGTGGAGCAGAGGTCGGAGGGAGCAGAACTGGGCTGCTCCAAAGAGCGGCACTTCACGACAAGGGTTTAAATCCAGTCGGACCTGCTTACAAGCAAAGCAAATAGATGGGTTTATTTATTCATGACTTCCTCTGTAATTCTAACCACAGGGCTCCAAAGGAGCCAAAGCTGAGCAGGGGCTGTGCTTCGGGAGGAAGATTTCCATGCGCTGTGGGGAGCTGAGCCGGACCTCAGGGCTGAGTGATGCTGGCTCCAGTTGGGATGCTGCCCCATAGGATGCTGCCCTGTGGCAAGCAGCCCTTCTGCAGGATGAGCACTGATGGAGATGGGCAGTGAGTGCTCAGGGTGCTGGCTCCTCGGAGGGGCTTTTTCTTTTTCCTTTTTAAGGGGGAGAAAATGAGATGCCACCAGCAGAATGACGGTGCGGGGACATAAATGGCTCTTTTCTCTCCGTGGTGCATTTCATTCTGGTCACGTATGTGAAGAACACATGCTCTGCCTGTGCGGATGCTTGGACCTATCTGGAGAAGTTTCTGGGGCAGGGGTGGGTGGTTGGAGACGTGGTTTCCTCCATCAGTTCAGATCCTTGTGACCCTCCCTGGACTGTGGCATTCTTTGCATTCTGAATTTCTTAATCTCTCTCTCCCATTCATTTTGGGATGTGGATTAGCATGTAAACAAGGGATCTGGTTTCATAGCGTGCTCCCCTCCCCCCTTTCTCCCTTCATCCCTCCTGATGCGACGCAGTTTTAAGGGTTCAGGACTTTTTCCCCATCCACCCAGTTTGCCTCCATAGCAGCAACAAAATTTGGTGTTTTGGAGGCTTCCCAATAGCTGAGCTGATGGGAGTGCTGAAAATCTTTTTTTGCTTCCTTTTTGTCTTTCTAATGGCAACTCCAAAGCTTTTTGGCCATTCTTTCACTTCAGTCTGAACCTGAGCGACTTTGGGAAACATCACTTCTGGTTCTGTTGGAAACCTGCTGAGCAGCTCAGCCCTTCCAGGCATTTTGCTGTGTGTGTGTTTGAATCCCCTGCCCAGGTGAGGGGAACCAGGCAGAACCCCATGGGATAAGGATTCCTCATCAGCCCCTTTACCTCCACGTCTGAGCAACACTGATTGCTTCTGACTGTTTTCTTCTCATTGACAAATGAGCTGAACCCTCTGGAGAGGATAAAAATCTAGAATTTCATCTTCTCTCCTTATTTTTTTTATTATTATTTCAAACGTTCACAAAGATTTGAAACCCAGGTCTACGATGAATGCAGGTCCAGAGGTGTTCTCCCAAAAAGTGCTGCCAGTGCTGAGCTGCATGTGATGGTCATAGTATTCCATTTCCCTTTCTTTCATGGATCTTAAAGTTCCATATTCAGTGAGCTTGCAGGCAGACACCATCTCCCACTGTGCTTAGATGCTCATTTCAGGTTGGGCCTTAGATCAGATGCTGAGATTTAGAGAGCTGAAATCAGGGGCAGTGATCAAGGAGGGCGTTTTGCAGTGACTTTACTGGAGGGTAGAGGTTTAACCAAAGGGAATTGTGCTGCTGCATTTGCCCACACAAAGCTGCATCCTCCAAGGATGTCCCTGGGCACCCATGGGTGCTTTTGCTGCAGGACAAGTGCTTTGCTGGGTGCTGTGAGCTGGGATGTGAGGCTCAGCCTGTTGTGCTCCTCATCCCTTTGCTTGCACACAGCACTTGGGGTGCTGACACTGCAGGAGGTGGCAGCACCATGGGGTGGAAACACCACAACAGTGAGAAAAAATCATTTCTCAGCATTTTGTGTTGGTGGAGGCCCTGGGGTGGCAACAGTGTGGCTGTGTGTGGGTGCTGGAGCTGCCCAGAGACCTACAACAATCCATGGTGGCACCTCCTGGATCAATTTGGCATCAAAAATTTCCCCCAAAAATTCTATTTTAGGAAAAATTAGGTTTGAAAAAGCCAAAAATGTGAGTGGAGGAGTGATCTTAGACCAACTGGGATGCTGGAGCCAAGTTTCCAGGTGCCATGGGCATCCCTATGGTCTCCTTTTCACGTTCCAGATTTGCTTTCAGGTTAAATGACTGCATGGCTCCTTTTTTTGCTTTCTAATCCTTGTAATCAATCTGGCAGAACTCAGCACTCGTAGCTGTGCTGGTGCAGGAAGGTTGGTGGATTTTGGGCATCTTGCTCACAGTGAAGCTTGCAGTGTAAATGCAGAACCTAGCGGGGTGTAATTAACAGAGAGCCATCAGCAACCCTGGGAGCACGTGGGAATGTAAAGCTTGATTAGGTACATCAGTGAGGAGCAGTTCAGTGTGAGATGGACGCGTTGCTGACACCAAATCTGGCTTTTAATTGCTTCTCATTTCTTTCAGGAGCCGGAAAATTCAAATCCGAAATATCCCACCTCAGCTGCGATGGGAGGTAAGGGGGTGAGGGAGCAGGGCATGAGCCTGAGACACAAGGACTTACACTGAGAAGTGTGGGGCACATTTAAAGATTGATTCCCCTATGGGTTTCTGCACTTGGGATAACAGTTGGTTCATCCTTTTCTTTGTTTTTAACTGGGTCTAATGGTGCTGTACCCTTGCATCCATGCAGCTGTTCCTGTTCTATGCAGGATTCAGTTCAGCTGGTAGAAGCACTGCAAGATCCACCAACAAAATCCCCGTTAATAACAGCGTTATGTGATTTATCCCTTGTAGGAACAACATGGATCCTTCTTTCCACCTGTTGGGACTTCTCCCTTTTCTTGCTGCCTTCCCAGCTCTGGTTCTGGGACCTGTTGACCCAACATCCTGGGGCACGCAGCAGCTTTGCTCTTCTAATTGCTTGTGAAATCTTAATGACCAGCAAGCTGCCTTTATCAACTGACTGTATTTCTTGGGTCTGTCCCAATTATCACAGTATAATGGGCTTTTTCTCTGTTTCCCAGGTCCTGGATGGCTTGCTTGCACAATATGGCACTGTAGAAAACTGTGAGCAAGGTAAGACTAAAAGAAGGAACCAAAGTGCTGTTGTTTAAATATTTCCTGCCCTAGCTATTTGGGGCTGGAGGAGGGAGAGGACAGACAGGTTGTTGTTCTTTCTTAGAGGTACCCATGGCTAAGGATGTCTGAGTCTGGTCAGTGGGTCCTCTTGTTGCTTGGCCAAAACAAGGACATCTCTGTAATAAAGCAGGATGGGCTGTACAGACATAGGCACTGTCTAGTGGCCAAAGATCGTGCATGCATGGCTCTAATTTCTGCCTCTTTTATTGCAGTGAACACAGACAGTGAGACTGCTGTGGTTAATGTCACCTACACAAACCGGGAGCAGACCAGGCAGTAAGTGCCCCACGGCCACCCCATGGGCCACCCATGGCCCACTGCCCCTTCCCTAGGGACAGAAAATGGGATTTCCATTGCTTTGAGTCAGGCTGCCCCAGAATTCATCAACTTGGGGTTGCAAATCTTTGAGAAATATCTTCCTTTCTGCCCTGATTTCTTTTTGTTCACCTTCTTGTTGGGTTGGGGTCGAATTGGAGCCCTTTAGAGGACATCCAAGGTAGGCTTTTTTGTGCAATTCAAAGAGTAAAGAAAACCAACTTTTTTTTTTTTTTTTTAAGGAGTAGTGAAGATTTTCTTGTACTGAAATCATTTAAGTAATTATAGCTCAAGGAAAAAGTAATTACGTTGGTGTGAGACCTTTCTGTCCATCTTTTTCTGCTTTATGGAGGGTCTTTGGACCCTTTGCATCCTGCAGAGATGGGGTTATTTGTCTCTGTTTAGCTGTGGGGTTTTGCAGCCCAAAAGGGAGTCACTGAGCCCTTTCTGGAGACCTTCAGTTTGACTTTTCTCCATAGAAGTTAGGAGAGCTGTGGTCAGAGCTGTTGCTTTTCTCTTGCTGCCAGCCCCATCTATCGACAGCTTTTAGCTCTTGCAGCCAGTCCCCAAAATCCCCACCAGTAGCTGAAATACCAACATATTGCTAAGCAGAGGAGAGTCTGGGGATCATTTCATGTTTTCACCCATTCCTCCCATCCCCTCCCCAGGGCTGGTTTCTTGGAGATCCCCCCCTTCAAGCACTTTGCTCCATCTGGACCAGGTGGGAAGTCCTGCCAGGTCCCCGTGGCAGTGATGACATCTCTGTGCCTCATTCCCAGTGCCTTTCCAAAGGGTGTTATGTCGAGACTTGACCCATTTTAGGTGGATTTGTCCCATTTTTGGGTGGGCTGGTGCTGATCTGCTGCCTTTTGCTGGGGAGTATAAGGGTAGGAATCCCCTCACCCCAATCCCTTTTCTCCTTGCTCCAGAGCCATCATGAAGCTGAATGGGCACCAGCTGGAGAACCACGTGCTGAAGGTCTCCTACATCCCTGACGAGCAATCAGTGCAGGGCCCAGAGAATGGGCGTCGGGGTGGCTTTGGGGCCCGAGGTGCCCCCCGGCAGGGTTCCCCTGTCACAGCAGGAGCTCCAGTCAAGCAGCAGCCTGTGGACATCCCCCTCCGTCTGCTGGTGCCAACACAGTATGTGGGTGCCATCATTGGCAAAGAAGGAGCCACCATCAGGAACATTACCAAGCAGACACAGTCCAAGTGAGTCTCCCTACCCTTCCCCCCGCCCACCACATTGCTTCTAATTAATGGAGAGGTCTGCAGTGATTTATGAGGCTGAGTTTGGTTTTGTCCCACGTGTTTTTGCTCTTCTCTCCCGAGGAGGGCTTTATCTAAGATGTGAAGTGATGAGCAGTGCATCTTGTCTGCCAGCTACCGACCTGTTCTCCACTATGTGATCACTCATGTTGTTTAAAATAAATAGATTCTGATGTCTTATTTGGATTTCTGTGAATGAGGCTTCTAGCTACAGTGTCTATATGGAATGCTGAGCCCAGAATTAACTGCCCTTTCCTTTCCTGTGTACATCTAAGCTTGCACTTCAGCTCTGGGCAGCCTGCAGGGATGCTGGGGGAGCAGAGCAGCCAGCACATGCTGTGAAGCTGCAGAGCCTGTGCCCACTCTGACATCAATGCTGTGCTTGCAGGATTGATGTTCACCGTAAGGAGAACGCAGGAGCTGCAGAAAAAGCTATCAGCATCCACTCCACCCCCGAGGGCTGCTCTGCTGCCTGCAAAATGATCTTGGAGATCATGCAGAAGGAGGCAAAGGACACGAAGACGTGAGTTTTTCTTTCCCCTACGTGCTTGTGGGTTGTATCCACAGCTCCTTGCTGGGCTGTTATCATCCCAGCACTCAGAGCTCCAGTTTGCACGTGGGAGCCTTGCCTTGGGAGAGCTGGGGGACTGTGAGCGATGGGACATGGTCTTCCCCATCACTTTGCACCCAATCCCTCTTCTTCTGGTTTATGTGATCTTTAATTTTATTGTTTTCCCGTTCCTCTCTGAAGAGCTGATGAAGTGCCTCTGAAAATCTTGGCCCATAACAACTTTGTGGGGCGCCTGATTGGCAAAGAAGGGCGAAACTTGAAGAAAGTGGAGCAGGATACGGAGACAAAAATCACCATTTCATCGTAAGGTTCCTTGCTGTCTTTGGGGAAAAGCAGGGTGGATTTTCCCAACCTGGGGCAGATGGATGTGGGGAGGCAGATATGGGGAATGTGAGGAAAGCAAAGGGATTCCTGTCAACCTGCTGGGAAGCCAGCCTGTGGCATGAGTGCTTTGATCCCCAAAGCTGTCTTGTTATACCTGTGTGCCATTTCCTGAATTCCCCTCCTCTTCCCTTTGGAGCTGTGCTGCGGTGCTGATTCTTTTAGCAGGCAGATCTGGGGTTTTATTCTTTAGCATTATTCATATCGTTATTCTTTAAACATGTTTTTGAGGAAGGCAGCACAAACGTGGGCAGTAAACCATGATGCTGCTCCTTGCTCTGGCCAGCACTGCTGTAACTCTGGTTTCCCATCAGCTTGCAGGACCTGACCCTGTACAACCCTGAAAGAACGATCACAGTGAAGGGCTCCATCGAGAACTGCTGCAAAGCAGAGCAGGAGATCATGAAGAAAGTGAGAGAAGCCTACGAGAACGATGTCGCTGCCATGAGCGTGAGTGCGGCTCAGCTTCGGGACGGCAGCTCTGCCAGGCAGGGTTCCTGCCCTACCTCCCCTCCAGTGTGCTCTAAGAGGATGCCCTGGTACAAGCAATGAGCGTTTCTCTCCTCTCCCCCTCAGCTGCAATCTCATCTCATCCCTGGCCTTAACCTGGCTGCTGTCGGCCTCTTCCCTGCCTCCTCCAACGCAGTACCTCCTCCTCCCAGCAGCGTCTCTGGGGCTGCTCCATACAGCTCTTTCATGGTAGGTGCACAGCTGAGGATCCTTGTAGTGCTTTCAGCACGGTCGCATCCATGTGTGTGCAGGATCTGTGCTCTTCACTCGTTGCAAACGCACTTATAGCATGGGTGACACTGCTGAGGGGGAACTTAGGGCATGGATCCTCGTGGTGAGCTCTGAAAAGTGGTTCTGTGTCCTCAGCCTCCAGAGCAGGAGACCGTACACGTCTTCATCCCTGCCCAAGCAGTTGGTGCCATCATTGGCAAGAAGGGTCAGCACATCAAGCAGCTCTCCCGGTTTGCAAGTGCCTCTATTAAGGTAGTGTCACCTCGTTAAGGAGGAATGACCTGCCAGCACCTCTTGCTGAGCTGGGTGCCTTTCTGTTGCTGAAATTACCCTAAAAACTTGGGTGATGTGTCTGTTTCTCTTCCCCATTCCAGATTGCACCACCGGAGACGCCGGACTCCAAAGTGCGCATGGTGGTCATCACAGGCCCTCCAGAAGCTCAGTTCAAGGTCCCCTCACTTTCTTGCCATCACAATGGGGTGTCAGAGTCACTTGGTGCCTCCTCCACCATCCCCTTCCCTTCAGAGCAGGGTGGGAGGAAGCAGCACGGTCAGCCCTCCCCAGTGTGACACCGAGACCTGACTTAAATCAGCACCAGCCCTCCTGGGGCTGAGATGATTTACAGCTCTGTGGAGCTGGGATTTGGGGAGGGAATCTGTCGTCCCCGGGATGGAGATATGTGGGGACCTTGAGCAGAGCCTGATGCTGCTTCTCCCCCCCCCTGCAGGCACAAGGCAGGATTTATGGCAAGCTGAAGGAGGAGAACTTCTTTGGGCCGAAGGAAGAAGTGAAGCTGGAGACGCACATCCGTGTCCCCGCCTCGGCTGCAGGGAGGGTTATTGGCAAAGGGGGCAAAACTGTAAGCAAAGCCATGTTTGGAAGGGAGTGGGAGCATTTGGGATGAGGGGGGGGGGGTCTCTCCCACGCTGTGTGGTGATGTTGGTCTCTGTCCCTTCCTCACAAGGTCAATGAGCTGCAGAACCTGACTGCTGCAGAGGTGGTGGTTCCACGGGATCAGACCCCTGATGAGAACGAGCAGGTCATTGTGAAGATCATCGGGCACTTCTATGCCAGCCAGGTATGGTCCCGGCAGCTCAGTGCTGGTGGAGTCTCTGATGGCTCATAAGGGGTTGTGTTCAGTGCTGCTTCCTGCTATGAAAGTGTTTTCTGCGCTTGGCTGCTGCTGTTTGCTGTCATCTTTCTGTGCTTTTGTGGAGTGGTGTGGACAGGAGGGAGAGCTGGGGTGAGGGGTACATGCACACGCATTCAACATCTTCATCAGTGACCCAGAGGAAGGGATGGAGTGTATCCCCAGCAAGTGTGCTGATGGTGCAAAGCTGGGAGGAGTGGCTGATGCTCACAGAAGGCTGCGATGCTGGTTAGTGAGACTTGGGCAGGCTGAGAGTTGGGCAGAGAGGAACGTGATGAGATTTAACAAGGGCATGTGCAGGGTCTGTGCCTGGGGAGGAATAACTGCAGCATCAATACAGGATGCGGGCTGAGCTGCTGGAAGAGAGCTCTGATGAGAAGGACCTGGGGGTCCTGGTGGCCAACAGGATGACCATGAGCCAGCAAACGTGCCCTGCTGGCCAAGAAGGCCAGCGATGCTCTGGTTGACCAATGGTTTCCCATTCAGCTGTATTTCTCATGGCACTCAGTGCCATTTCCCTTGCATTTTCCTTCTGCTCCTTTCATCCACAGATGGCGCAGCGCAAAATCCGGGACATCCTGGCCCAGGTGAAGCAGCAGCATCAGAAGGGACAGAGCGGCCAGCTGCAAGCGAGGAGGAAATGAGAGCAGCACTGACACCAATGTGAAAAGTGGAACAAGCCAATGCCAGGCTTAAGAGTGGCTGGGAATCAGTTACCATAGACAGATGCAATTGTTTTCATTAACTGGTCGACACTAAAAGGCAGTTTGATTGGCTTTCAAGGCAAGAGGGACGGGGCTAAGAACCAGACCTCACCACCCGACCCATTTTTAGCTCCATGTGCTGACACTGTACTGAACTGAAGTGGGAGGTGCTGCGGGGCTGGGGGATGGAGCCCAACACCAGGCACTGCACTCAGCCCCTGCAGGCACTGCCTGCCCTCATCTCAGGGCCTCTGGGGGCTCCCCCAGGGCTCCCCCCCAGCCCCATTTCCCCCATCCCTCCTTCAGTCCCTTCCCTGCCTCAGCGGTGTGGCTGACGGATGTTCCCAAAGTGATGTTAAATCTTTGGGATCCTTTTTTTTTTTTTTTTTTTTAAATTCTTTTTATTTTTCTCTTTTTTTTTTAGAATTTTTTCTTTTTTTTTCTTTTAATTTTTCAGAAATTCCAATGGACCATCACCAACCCCCCCCCACTGGTAATGAGATCCATTGTGAGGGACTGAAGGGAGGGGGGGAGGAAAACCCCATGGGATCCAAATCCATTTGGCACTCTGGGAGCTCTGCAGCCCTCCGTGTCAGCAGCACCCAAGGGTGGGCAGGAGAACTTTCCTCTCCCCTGTGCTGTGTGTGCAGTGCAGTGCCTTCTGAAGCCTTAGGAACCAACGCAGGACCTCTATTTTCCAGGGCAACTTTTTAGTTTTTCATTTGGTTGAATGTTTCTTTATGTTACGTTAGTTTACTTGAAAGGAGTTGTCTTTTGGGGGGAGTTTTGGACTTGTTTTCTCTTTTTGTCATCGTGGGTTTTTTTTTTTGTTGGTGTTTTTTTTTTTTCTTTTTTTATGGCCTATGAACTAATGGCAGAATGGGATGCAGAGCTTTAACTGTAGAGATGCTGACTTGGTAATGGAAGGGGGCAAAGGAAGTGCTTTGCTTTTTTTCCTTTCCTCCCTCTGAGCAACAGCAATAAAACATAGGAACAAAGCACAGCCCGCTTGGTAGGAAGCATGAATGAACGTCCATCCTTCAGTTATCATTTTAAGGGAAATGGGAGCTAAACAGGGATTTGCTGGGACCGGGGGCTCAGCCTCAGCTTTCCCTCCCAGTCCAGATTTGTGCCCTGAAATCCCATTGATATTTCCATGGGCTCAGCCACACGCAGTGATTTTTTTGGTTTTTTTTTTTGGGGGGGGGGAGGGGTTGGGGAGGGAAACACTCAGGGGAATGGAATCTTTTCATTAGCAAAGCTTGGAGGATGCTGGTTGGTGTTAACCCTCGTGGGGCTGTTTGTGGTGTATCCCACCCCCCCCTTCCTCCTTCCCCAAATCTCTCCAGATGGGGGCAAAAAAAAAAAAAAATTCTTTGAAATTTGGCACGTCTGAAGCTTTATTTTTTTTTCTTATTTTTAAAACAACAACAACAAAGCCCACAATCACCACCACCCTCTTCTTTCTATGGAGAGAACAGCCCCCCTCACACGACCGTACCAAATAGATCCGTCAAACGAATGTAAGGTGGTTCCTGATTCCCGTCACTCTTAGGAGGATTTTTTATATTTTTAGATATATTTTAATGGTTTGTTTTTAATATTTGAGTATCGGGAAGGGACAGTAACTGCTGTGACTGCCTCACTACGGGGTCGGGTGGTGTCTCTATGGGGGCTGTGTGTGCACCGTGCTGCCCCTACACCCGGCCCCATTGGGGGACTCAGTGCTGATGCTGTCCCACAAACTGGGGAGCAGGGGGAGAAAGCAAAAAAAAAAAAGCTCTGATTGCATTGGGGACAGCGGGGTGAGCCCCCACGGAGGTGATAAAGGAGGGAGTGAACCTCGCACTGATTCTGTATTGTTTCTTCTGAAACCAGACTGCTCCCATTGAGCTGAGATGGGGACACAGCAGCGGTTACTGTCCCTGGGGGCACTGCAGCAGCAGCAGTGGGGTGAGGCCAGGAGTTGGGGTGAGGTATAGCCGTGTGTTTGAGCAACAAGAGAGGAGGGAAAGAAAGAAAAGAAAAAAAAAAAAAAAAAAAAGAGAAAAAAAAAAAGAGAGAAAAGGAGAAAAAAAAAAAAAAGCTACCTCAAGGTATGATGTTACCTCAGCAATTGAATTTTTTTTTTTTCTTTTTGGTTTTTTTTTTTTTTTTATTTTTTTTGTGGGGGGCTTGCTGGTATTTTATATAAAAGCTGATAGTCTTGAATATTTTATTTTTTTAATGAAAAGAGAAGTTAAGTTGTTCGTAATTTCTTATGAGCCAGGAGCGCTGAGCCCGGGGTACCCAGGTGTGATGATGAGCTCTCTATGGAGAACGACAGAAATCTCAGACATAGTGGAAAAGATGGCAGCACGAATGGTGTTGGCCTTCCCAAAGCCAGGCAGAAATGCCAACACAACACACGAGCTGTGGGATGTCACGACTCTTTGAGACCTTTGGACAAATCGGAGCCCACTGAGGTTTTCAATTGGAAAGACTTTATTTCTTTTTTTTTTTCCTTCTTCTTTTTTTTTTTTCCTTTCACATGCAAAAAAAAAAAAGAAAAACAAAACCAACGGCGAAACTACAGGATGACGAAAGGCTTTTGTCCATCCAACTTCATTGGGAAAGCAAACGGTTGAAGAGCTTGGGATTGGCAATCTTCCACTGTGGGCAATGAGGATGGAGTTGCCTCCATAAAAGCACTCTTGGAATGGAGCTCAGCACCACGTGGGGCCACATTGAGCTGCCCCAACCCAGGCAGTGTCCCGCAGCCATAAAGCCATATGGATTGCCATAAACCAAACCCATATGGGCCACCCCAGTGGTGCTGCCATGGAGGCAACGGCCGCCTGTCTTCTCCACTATGATGCTGGTAAACTCATTGCAGAGATTTGCCTCAGTTTTACCGAGGATAAAACAAGTAAGGAGAAAAAGGGGGGGAAAAAAAGACATAAATGGAAACCAACTTTTCTTCTACAAACGCACACGGAGGAGAGAGAGAAAAATGGAATGACCCTCACGAATAACAGGCACGGACCTCACCCTGTATGCTTGAAAAGGTTCTTTTTTTCTTTATGTGCCATCTTGCTGTTTGTCCCTGCAGGAAAACGACCCGTTCTGACCATTGGATGAGAAGATGGAAATTGAGATGCATGGGGCTGTGGGTGATCCTGTGCAATTTGGGTGGTGGGCTGCCTTGGTCCCAGCTGGGGCTGTCATTGTGTCCTAGGGAAATGTTAATCTCTGGCTCTCTACTTCTTACAGCTTTGGACAGATCAGTGTTATTCAGACATCGGTGATTATAAGAATTGTATTTTTCCCACAGCAAGCTTTTTTTTTTTATTTTATTTTTTATTTTTTAGTAACTGGTGCAAAGTGTATCGTTGAGGAGAAAAAAAACAAAAGACCCATTTTCCCCCTTCTTACCCCCAGTCCTGTTCCTCTGGTTGTTGCATGGATAAGATCCAGATCCGGACACATACCTAAACCTGATGGTGACTCAGGGAAACCTGTGATGTTTTCCCCCCATTTCTGTGCTGCTATCCCAGTGCAACCCCAAGCTGCTCCTATTGCCATCCCCTCGTGGGAGCTGTGCTCTATGGTGCTGTTCCAAGGGCTGAGAGGTTCTTTGGGGGCTGCTTTGCTTTTTCAAGGGTGGCTGCTGGGAGGGGGCAGGTCTGCCCTTGGTGGTATCCCTTCAATCCCTGCTTAAATCCCTACTGCTGTCCTATGGAGTTCAATAGGACTTGTGCCTTTCTCCTGCCTGGATGCAGCAGGATCCCCATCCCAGGGAAGGAGATGTGAGCTTTGAATCAGGGATGCCCATCAGCAAGAAGGGAGGAGAAGGAACCCCACTGCCTGTTAGCTGCTTTCTTTGCACTGGAGAGAAAAAAAAAAAAAAAAAGGCAGTTTAGGGGAAACCACCCTACTTTAAAAGCAGGAAAATCAGCCCCCATCTGCTGAATGAGAAAAATCTGCTAGCAACAGGGATCAGGCAGGTGCTCACTCATGGCACAGCTTTGCTGAGGACCAGAAAGGCAACAATATCTCCAGCTCCTGCCCTCAGGGCTGCCCTTTGCTTTCCCTACAGAAACCCTTTGGGTTTATATATTTAATTTCTTCTGCATTGAGAAAGCAGCAAGCCCAACCCTGCTGCACTGTGGGTTTGGGGTGTTCCTTCCCTGTGGGCTGAGCTTTGACCTGAGGACATAGGGAACCTCTGGGGCAGGAGAGGGGGAATGGGGCAAATGCAGCCTTCTGCTCCCCGAGGCTGAAGAATTTGTTTCTCACTGGTGCTGGGTGTAAAACAAAAAGGAAAGGAAGCAAAAATAACGAGGAGAATTTCTCTGTGCCTCAGTTTCTCCCTGCTGGGGCTCATGCTGCTCACCTACCTCACACAGGGTACTGCCCACAGCCCCGTGCCCCCAAAGCACTTTGTGGTCCTCGGTGCCACAAACAGGGCAAAGCGATGCTGTGTGGGTGATGGGGTTTGTATCAATGCTGTCAGGATGCTGTGTTGTCTTTCAGCTGGAGGCAAATGAAAAACAAAGCCAAATAAACCCCACCAAAAAATCAGATTTTGTTTTGTCCTTCCAGGCTCTGCCCATTTCCTCAGCCCTCAAAGTGCACCTGAGGCAACGGGGCTTCAGCAGCACTGGGTTTTATGGAGTCTTTTCTTTTTTCTTTTTCTTTTTCCCTATTTTTTTTCTTCTTTTTTTTTCTTCTTCTTTTTTTTTTTTCTCTATTGTAGCTTCTGCTTCATTTGTGTGAAGTCAGTGTGAGCCTGTGACATCCTAAGCATCCCATCAGCCATCCCAATAATAATCTTGCTGCTAACGTTCCAGCCTGGCCATGGGCTGTGCAGATGGGAGGTGAAGGATTTGGGCTGCAGATTTGCCTTGGGAACAGCGGTTGGCAGTGATTTTGCTCAAGAAGTTTCCATTCCATCTTATTGGAAAGGGAGAGGAGGACAATGGCTGCCCATTGCTGGGTGCCAGCAGGTGGAAGGGTCTGAGTAGACTTGGGGTCCATTTGTGGGCAGAGCTGGGGGTCAGCGTTGGGCTGAGTGATGCTCCAGGTCCTATCAGAGGTGTGAGCCATGGTGGTGCAGAGCATGGGAGCTCTGCATTGGTATGGAGTAGGAAGGGAAAAATGTAGCCTGTCTCAGTGGACTCAGCCTTCCTTCATCGTTTTGATGGTTTTCTATTATTTTTTTTTTTTCTTTTTCCCCCTTTGGAACATTTGTGAATCTGGATAAACCCCAAAGGGAAACCAGGAAGCAGAGGCTCTTCAATCCTGAATTTTGGAGAAAGGTGCAGATGCTGTGAACGCACACGTGCAAACTACCTCAGGGCTGAGCATTGGGCATGGGGGCCTTTGGGCACAGCCCCCCTCCCAAACTGCAGGGACACCCCAAAGAAGAGCTGCAGTGTAGAAGAGGAGAGGAAAGCTGCTGGGGCTGCTGGTTTGGAATGGTCACTGGGCAGTATGTTGGGCCCGTTGGAAATTGACCCATTGCTGCATTATGCATTTTGTAGCTTTTGGTGAGGGCAAATAGCTCTGAGTAGGGATGCTCTGAGTAGGGATGCTCTGAGTAGGGATGCTCTGAGTAGGGATGCTCTGAGTAGGCTCTGAGTAGGGATGCTCTGAGTAGGGATGCTCTGAGTAGGGATGCTGTGTTGGGCCATGGTGACAAAGCAGTGGGTTACAAACTGGAAAAAATCAACATGAGCTAATGATGAAAAGGGACTTTTTGCTTGAAAAATATAACCAGCACCAAATTAAGGCATGGGAGACAGCTGTACAGCAGAACCAAAGCCATTTTTTTTTCCGATCCATTTGGGAAATGGTCTCTGTAAAGCAGCTCAGGCTGTTGTCCATGGGGATGCAGTGCTTGGGGCAGAGCATCCCACAGGGTCCCATCCTTCCCACACCCCCCACTGCCAACTGGGGTCACCCCAGAAAATGGATGGGATTGTCTGGAATCAGAGAGGAAACCGTGAGAATCACGGGAATGGGTTGAAGTGTTCGTTACCCAGCAGATATTGGTTCATTTGAAGCACATCTGGATTCAGTGTTGACATCAAACTTTTAGTTGACTTTCAGGAGGCAAAATCCGGTCCTCAGACCCAACATGTGCCTTCCCCCTCCCCTGATACTGCCTTGTATCCAGCTCTGGGTGGCTGCATTGGAACCCAATGACTTTTGGGGTCACCCTACATGAGGCAAAGCCCCATAGGAAGCCCTGGAGCTGGGGGTCTGCCTGCTCCACCACGTCAGCCCTGGGGTGCGACCTCCTATATAACCAAGTCATTTTTGTTTATCTACCTCTTAGTGACAATAGATAAAAACTAGGTAGTGGCAACTCCACGTGCTGTAGTTTAGGGGAAAAAAAAAAAGAAATTACTCTTTTTCCAAAGAAAAATGTTCTTTAAAAATAGAATTTACGGGCTTTCTTTTCACTTTAAAGTGGTCGTTAGTTGTAAAAGCTCCAGACCTCAGCAGTCCAAACCGTTTGGTTGTGACTGATTTTTTATTTTTGTTTTTATTTTTAGTGCTCGAACTTCTATTTCATTTGTTTCTTTTCTTTTTTTTTTTTTTTTTTTTTTTTTTTTTTTCCCTTTTGAACGTTGATATTTACTTCTGTCAGCAGTAGAACTCCATCAGCTCCCCAGCGTCGCGGGGCTGAACCCCATCATGCATGGGTGGGAGATGCTGGGGCCATCATTCAATGGTTTTCCCAGTGGCCATGGGTGTGGGTGGCTTAATGATGTGGGTTGGTGGCACCAAATCGGTGGAATTGGGTTGGTGGTACCGGATTGGTGGCACCGGGTTGATGGAATCAGGTTTGGTGACACCAAATCGGTGGAATTGGGGCGGTGGGTGGCACCAAGTTGGCTCTGGATTGGTGGAACTGGCTTGGTGGCATCGAGTTGGTGGCATTGGACTGGTGGCAAGGGTTGGGTCGTGCCAGGTTGGTGGCACCAAAATGGTGGTGGCATTGGGTTGGTGGCACCAAGTTGGTGGCACCATATTGGTGGCATTGGGTTGGTGCCACTGGTGAGAACGTGAGCACTGCCCTGAGCAGTTGGTCCTCCAGTCTGATCCAACTGAGCCAGCTTTGGGTTCTCCATCACCCCACACCCAGGAGCCATGTGGGACAGCTGCACCCAAGGGCTCTCACCACACCAATGGCCAAAGCAATGTCTCCCAGCAGCCGCCCCAATGTGATTTCAGGCTGTTCCTCAATACCGTTGTACTGTACGGGGCTGATGCTGGTGTTCCTCCTCTTGGCTGTTTCTTTCTACCTTTCTCCTCCTCTTTGCCTGTTCCACCCCCATCCTTCCCACACCTCGAAGCCGTTGCTTTGATTGTGGAGCAATAGGGATGACGGATGGATGCAGGCTTCATTTCTCTCCCAGCGAGGTTTTGCCACAAACCGCTTTACTCCACTGTTTCGTTTTTAAAAAATTAAAAAAAAAAAAAAAAAATTAAAATAAAATTAAAAAAAAAAAAAGGAAAAAAAAAAAAATTCCTCTAACGCTGTTCCTGTGCGTTTTTTCATCAATTTGATGGGGCGGGGGTGTGGGGGAAACGGAGAAATCGAAGTGCCGGGAGGGGGGGGTGCAGGGCTGATGCCACGCGTGCTCGCTGCCGTCCCGCAGCGCTGGTGGAACCGAAACCCGTGTCACAATTCAATGGCGTTTAGAGGACGGAATGCCGTTTTCTCGCCGCTGGATGGGAAACGGGGTCACGGCGGCGGGCGTCGCGGTTTAAAATCCAAGCAGCTTCGGGGGCGGCTGCCGGCACCGGGCTGTACGCGGATATGGGGCCGTGCGAGGCGGACCCCATTGGGACCCGCGATGGAATCGGGGTCGGGGCGGACGCCCGCGGCGCCGCGCAAAGCCTGAAGGCGCCGTGGCGCAACGCGTATGCCGTGGTCCCATGGTGTAATGGTTAGCACTCTGGACTTTGAATCCAGCGATCCGAGTTCAA